CTACACTCTTCTTATACTACCAAAACTTTATTCACTTTTAGTCACTTACAGTTATTTATTCACCTTTCAGTCACTTTAATTTTAAAACTGTAATTTTAAAACTGTATATACTATATATTCATTATTTCACTCTTATTGCCTGTTCTTATTGTGCTTATCTTCAACTTTATGCTGCTCTGTTGTTTGTTAATTGCCCCTTGGGGATAAATAAAGTCTTCTGATTCTGATTCAAGGTTCAAAAGAGGAGAATAACTTCTCTCAGGTCACATTCAGCAGAAGAGGCTGTAGTACATTATTTACATGTAATAGTAAAGCTAAAATGTTCTAAGTACATTATTTTATGTCGTTTGGATTACAAGTGCATTACAAATAGACATAATGGGGAGTTAAAAGCATAACTATGTAAATCACTGCCTTTTCTTTACTTTATTTATTGTTCGCGTTTGTTTTCAGGGACATTACGCTGTAGTGCCGCTGAGACATGAATCAATACTTACTGTATGAATTACCGTGCTCAGACTCTAATGGCAAGCTTTTGCCACGCTAAGCCTGAAATATATTTAGTGCACAGCGAGACAATGGACGCTAAACATTCCATGCACTCGACAATTAGTCGGGAGGATCCTGCATAATTGTTAGTTAATTGCGTCAAGTGATGACTCAGGGGATGAGCCGTGGTAACCACTTCCGAGGCTTTTTTCATGGAAAATATGGTGAAAATGATGAAGGCCTAACGAAACTGTTTTTGTTTTGTTTTTTTAATTAGGCTAAGCGAATAGTAAGAGAAGTGCTGTGCAGTCACTGTATTGATCTGTGGTATGGTAATTTTATCTGATATAAATTTGTTAGAATGCACATTATATGTATCTATTGAATATGTTATCCTTGAATGGCCACTGCAATGCCATTCATTGCCTTATACAACAGAATTAATAATTTAGAGCATTTTATGCTGAGAGTAACTTTTGGTGCCCTTTGGTAACAGATCCGTGGCACTAATGCTGGGTGGCAGGCCAGTTTGAAGCCCTGCACTACAAGTCAAGGCTAGGGCACATCTGTCTGGCTGACTGGCCAATGTACAGCCCCTCGATCCCTGAGCTATTAGGCACACAGCTGACATGCTTGCATGTGTATGCACATGCACACTTTGAGGATTCATGGACCATTAACGCTGTGATCTGTAAAGTTACCATCACGTTTAACAAGCAAACCAAAAGCCACTGACAATGGCTTACATTTTCAAAGCTCTCAACAACTACGTGCTGCCGAGGGTCTCTGCCAGAGAGATTATAACGGAAAGACAAAAAAGGAAAATAAATAATAATAAAGAATCCTGATGGGAAAACTCTGCAGCAGCAACATGTAACCCACAAAGTAATCTGCTTTGTAAAGTCAGTTGTGTTGTTCCATTGCTACAAGCACAGTTTGCAACTGCAAAGTGTTGGTTTCACGAATCACTTCAGAGCGTGCAATGTATTTTGAATCTGGATGAGTCAGTATTGCTGCAGTTTGAAGAACAGGTTTGACATAGAGCTAACATTAGTTAGCTAATCAAGTTAGCAGTTTGGGATAAGTGTAATCAGCGTTCTTAGCGTTCTTAGCGTTCTTAGCGTCAGTCTCACATTTGTCAGATTATGAGTCAACCCATTTCATGGATGTGCAACATGCACACAATAGTCACCGGCACACTCACAGCCATACACCAACATGTCGCCATGGTGTGGCTGTTAGCAAGTTCTTCACTGTTAGTGAGGAGGACACAAACTTCACTTAAATTGCAGAGGAACACCACCTAACAACTAACCTAATGAGACACTTAAATCACCTTCACCTTTGTTTCTTATGAAAAAAAGTGCACAAAAATGAAAAGTTGATTTTTGATTCTGTATGCTGTCAGTTGTAGTTCTATTAAAGAAAATCAAAACTGACAAAAGTTAGCATTGGCAAATCACGCTTAGAGAAAAAACAAACAAACCACAAAAGAGAGAAGTTGAAATTGGACACGAAAATTGCACTTGGTTCAAACATATTTTAAAAAAAGGAAGATTTGTGTGGCTTTTCTTCTAAACATTATCATTCTTACTTAAAGTCGTGGCAACATATCCCTCTTTTTATCATGTATGCATAACTGAATGGTAGTTTGCATGATTTAAAAAAAAAATCTTTTTAAAAGAGAGCATGATACTGTGAGTGGGATCAGAAGGATATCTGCTAAAAGCTAGCATGTAGGCACACATCAGTGTGTGGGGAAGATTATAAATGAAAGACTATAACTGTTGTATAATTGTTTGCATGAATATTATGAGTCAGTACGATTGTGCCAGAAGAAAAATAAATGACAGTGAATAGACACTTTACATCTGTGTCAGTGTGCAGAGCATTTATTTGAAACAGGGGGTAGTTTCTCTGAACAGAGAAGCTGTTGAGATTCTCAGTTTCTGATTGGCTCGCAGCCTTTTTTGGAAAGAAATCGTGTCGTCTGGCTATCTTTACGTTTCAGAGAGGATTTCAAAACAACCACAGAAGAACTTAAAAATTCACTAAATTCAAGTTGTTCACCAAGAATAGCAACATTTTATACAAAGATGATTTTTCTCTTCCACTACAGCCTTGCAGTATCTCTTTTCTAAGCATGCTAATTTACCCAGCTGGCTAGCAGTTACGTGAGCGTTTAGTGAGTTTAAGGTCATCCTTGTGCAACAAATCAGACTGATCTCACAGTGTGACAAAACAGCTTGACTTTATGAGCAAATGTATACGTGTACGAGTGACTAATACTACCTTTATGACACACTGACTGCATGTATATGACATAAAGCGCTGCAGTTCAATTCTTCTATAACATTTTAGGTTTGTAGTATTGAGAGGCTGTTGACAGACAGACATGATAGTGAGAAGTGTTTGTACTTTTTTAAACACCTCTGAATATAATACAGTCCTTTACATAATCATCTTTATGACATAAATTCTACTCAAACACAGTTTAACACTCGTAAAAATGAGACTTTATAAGAGAACAAATGCATTTGACTGCAAATAAATCAATAAATGTGTGTGTTGTAGAGAATAGCAGGGTATGTAATTATGACAAAATGCTAAAAAACGTGATTGTGGGTATTACATGTGAAGTATAGCTGTGCTGTGTGTGAGAACAGGTCTGATTTACGACCTAAGCAGCCACTCATAAATATTAGTCCTGAGGCACACGTCTGCATGTGTGTTTATAAAGGAGGGTGTAAATGTTTCATATGTCAAAGCGCAAGGAAAACGGAAAAAGAAGAGACGCTGTGGTGCAGGTGTGCAAGAGAACCAGTGAGACTCTTCCCCCCCCCCCCCCTTTTTTTATTTTTTTCCCATTTCTCTGAGATGAAAGTGGGAAGGGATGATGGGATGTAGGTTGGATGAAAGAAAAGGGAGGAGGAAAGAGCGCTCCAGTCCTGTCGCCTTGGGTGCATCAGCAGCAGGAATTGTTCTCTGCCCTGTGGGGGCCATCTGACTGTTCTGTCACCCTCAACAGAAGGCTGACTCTGCCTTAAAGTGCTCGGCCCCGCGCTCGCAGTTCGACAAGCTTGATGTTTAATACATACACAGGGAGAATATTGAAAATGCCTCAGGAGAAATGCAGCACACAGGCTGTAAGGGAGAGAGGGGATTTTTTTGGTCAGTTTGTAGAACAACCAAGAATAGTGGGGCTCCTGTACAAAGCATGCGTGGGCAGGCTGCAAAATATAATTGCTGAAGACTCGGACCAAAGCCGGAGCTCCGTAGCAAATTGGAAATCTATTACGTGCAAGAGTTAAGCACCTCTCAAAAACAAAGCACTTGTTTTGAGGGGGGTACTTCTTCATTGTGGTGATTGTGTAATGCACTGGCATATCTGCGGCAGGAAATATACGTCACATTCATGCATGATGCTTCAGTCGAAATAACAGGCCGTGAATTTAACACTTAAGCTGAAAAGCCTCTCCCTCGTCTGTAATCAGGGCGAGCATGGTGAAATTCAGGGCATCACTCCTCAATAAGGCAGGAGAACGGGCCTCAGGGGTGACCCTCCTGCTTAAGTCAACACAATGGGTGTAATGAGGTGAAATACACACACACACACACACACACACACACACACAGAGGAGATGGGAACCCTTATTGCATAGTTAAGTGCGATTCATTCATCTACATGCACTGAGCCTGCTGCAGAAGTTCTGCTCACACCCACACATTTAGAAGCACAGCAAGAATTTCACTCTTATTTCAGGTTACTGAGTGAATCAGATGTTATGAAATGATGTCATTTCTAACTGGCGAGCTTATATTTAACACACCACGTGTCTTAACGGCCCGAACCTGTATTTTGAGTAAAAAGAAGAAGAAAAAAGGAGCCCAAATGCCACGACTGAATTGTGACAATCCAACTTTAAGCTGATCTGAAAAGCCACTGGTTCTTTTTGACAAGCCTGCATCTCCTCGGCACTTAATAGTCAGCGAGTTCATCAGTTCTGAGTCCATAATTAATCAGCCCGAGCGTGTGAGCAGGACTGGTGCCTTTCTCTTAACATCACGTACAGCAACCCACGCCCTCCGGGCCATCAGTGGATTAATGATAAGTGCCTTTGATAGGAGAGCCCCTCACAAAGGCTTTATTAATTAGCCTAACACCGACGCTGTGGCCGCAGTGTGCAACACGTCCCCGCTAATCAAAACTTTAAAGGGGCACGATCGACCTCCCAATCACCCGCACGACATCAAACCCCTGACGCCTGCGTGCATTAAGTTGCCGCTGAAAGTGCACCATTTCCAAATGAGGGGCAACTTTCATGCGTCGGTGAAGACGCGGTTATGCGCGCTTTACAAAGACGCCCGTGAATGATTGATCAGACAGGTGGGATCGAGTAGTGGCTACGGCATAAATCAGAGGTAAGGAGGGACACTATCCAAAACTGCCCAGATGTCGCCAAAGTGGAAGCAAAAATGAAATCGACGGAGACCAGATGCGTCGTACTCACTCGTCCCCGGTGCCTTAGAGGAGCATCCCGGTCTCTCACGGCCAGCTTTTCAGATGAGTTCTCCTGGGACAGCGCGCCTTGATCCTCACTATCATTCTTTGCAAGGCTCCAGCCTCCTCACAGCCTCCCTTTACTCTTCTTCTTTGGCATTACAAAAGAAAAAAAAATACAACGAAGAAAATCAAACCCTTTGCATGCCAAATAAAATTCTCCTTCAGGTGTTGTTTCGGGGTTGCTCTCGTCCGTCTCTCGGTGTGCAGGGCAGAAGTGACAGAAGCGGATTCCTATTTGAGGGGATGCTGACGCGCAACCGGAGGGGCTCGCCTCCTGTCTTTTTCATCTGGCTCCATCAGCAGCCCTCGGTTAGGCAGCACCATGTGACTGAAAATAGCGTCAAACACACGCGATGGCACGCTTACTTCCTGTTACCGCACTTCAAAATAAAACACTATATCTATAGTTTTGGTAAAAGGAAACTGAAGAAGAATCCCATTAATAGTAAAGTAGAGATCACCAAAAGATAGTAGATTAAATTTGATTTCATCTCGCAAAATAAATAAATAAATAAAATTAGACAGGTTTATTTCGAATATTTAAAAGAATAAAGTATAGTTGACATTTATGAACATTGATCAAAGCTAATATCCGACATATTAATTCAAATAAAAAGCAAAGTAAACAATGCTTTTATTTGCATATAAAATATTATTTATAGCCATTCCCAGCTACGTGTTAAGTTTGCAACAGCGAATACCAAAAACATGAATCCCATGTTTGAACTGGCAAAAAAATATAGTAAAAAGCAAAAAAAGAAAAAAAAAAAAGAAAAAAAAAAATAGAAAGAAAGAAAATAGTGATGGAAAGTATGCCTCTAGTGCTGTTGTCCTTTTAAAATGCCACAAACACTGTCTTTCTCATATCAGATCATTAATAAATATTAATGTAGAATTAAAGCCTGTACTAAGGAACAGTTGTTTTTAATACCACACAACAGAGAGGCCTGTATAGGCTCAACCTTGGCCGAAATAGTTTAAAATTAAGGACAAGATTTGACATGGTCATCTGGGGATTTTGCATGTTTTTCTCTTTATAATGTCTTTTTAGTTCCTTCTTCATCTTTTTTTTGTCTTAAATTGGTCTGAATTGATTGTGGGGCTGATATATCTCTCTCTAGCAATATCTGCTGTTGATTTAGTATAAACTCAAGCTGATTTCTTCTCTGTTTAGGAAAACTTTGTGATTTCCCCTGAAGTCTAACCAGCACGAAATATATTACTTTTATTTTGAAGGGGTTCCTCTTCACCTCTTTTCCGGCTTCAATCTCTATTGACGCACCTGTGAAGGCACCCATTCAATTAAGACTGACCTCACAGAGAGCGCCTCCAAGCGACCGCAGTTAGAGTAACACCGACTTCTCAAAAAATTATCCTGAGGAGAAATATTTCCAAGTATTGTCAGTTATTGACATGTTCCTTATAGTAGCCTCTGTATTCCTTGTTTATCGAGTTCTGAACTTTTTTTTTAATGGCAAACAAAGAAAAGGAAATAAAAATCAGATGAGACTGCGCCCCCATCGTCACATGCACTGTATAACGTTAAACTTTTATGAGCATAGCCTAAATAAAGAAAACATTCATATGCGTGTTGGAAAGCCGACGGTGGCTGTAATTTGAAGCTGTGTAAGCTAGTTCGTGTTGACAAATCTCCCACAGAGCTGAAGGGAGCAGCTCATTTCGCGTTTGATATAAAGTTAGGTTGTAATGTATTTCAGTTGCGCCACTACAAAAATATCCGGTGTTGTTTTTGTTAACCCCCGTAGCTGACATATTCATTTCTGCCTGAATAATGACATCATTTGCGAACCTTTGGTGTGAGCAAACTACTGTTGCAAGAACAATAATTTGGGGGAAATCAAGTCTTTCAGGCTGCTGTAAGTATATGGATTCAATTTCTTTTGCTCTCATGTCTCAGAAATGATGAATTGGCCCTTTGATAAAAGTGAAAGAGACTTCTGTTGAGTGCTGCAGGACAAAATCCTCACTGGTGTGTTTGAGCGCCAAAAACGTGTGAGAAGAGAATCAGTGAGGGAAAAAGAGGGAGAGAAAGAGAAGAAAGAGAAGTAAAAGCGACAGGCTAAGACGCTTTTTCAAAGACAGACAGGCCTTGTCCTTTTGAGATCTTTTCCTATTGTTGTCCACTGTGGGCCAGACTCTTGGGTCTCCTCCACAATGCAGGTCCCCTCAGAGCAGTGCACCACTGGCTCTCCTGTCACTTCACATTAGTGTCCTCATGGAGAACAGCAGCCCCGGAGGGCCACACTTGTCATGAAAGAAGTACTCTGGATACACACCCACCCACTCACACACACACACACACACACACACACACACACACACACACACACACACACACATTATGCAGACTGTGAAGATAGGAGGTGTCAGGCAAAATGAGAACACAAGGAGAACCTCCATCAAGGCTTCCAACAGAACTTTAACAGTGACCTTATTTCAGCCTCGTGCTTGCCTCTCTGTCTCATTCTCTCCCACCCAACCAGCAACCCAAATAGACACAAGCACAGATTTATGGCACACGTTCAGAAGCCGTGTTCTCATGAGAAATGCGACCTAGGAATAAATAAGCTTCACGTATGTCTTGCACTTACAGGCTTGATGTGTAACAGTGAAACATGCCATCTGCTACAGGCAAACAGAGCAATCACTCACACGGAACCAAGAAAACACCTTTATTCAATGAAATATGACAAGATAAATACGATTTAGAATATACTATTTAGAATTTGGCATAAAAATGTGAAAGTAACCACCCCTCCCCCCAAAAAAACAAAAAAAACCCCAAAACAAAACAGCATCACTTGAATGTTAAGCTTGAACAGTATTTCATTAACTGCAATTACTGTCATTCTTCTATTATAATTTATTTGATTGTCTTTAAATAACTTCTAGCTGTTAGTTTACAGGAACCAGGCGGATCTTGAGTACATAAGCGAGCACACCATGACAGCTGTTGAAGGTGGTGTGATTTGGGGAAAAATATAAGGCTGACAGTCTTACGCCTGGAAGAATACATTAGCAAAAAATATTTTCATATTTTAGTGATTTGATTTTAATTATTTATTGCCATCGTCACAAATTTTCAATAAAAAGTAATTCATAGTCCAGCTGTATAACATGTAGTAAATGCTCACCTGCTGAGATTATGTAACACGATGCGCCATTGCTTATCTCTCTGAAATAAAAGTACCGGAGCATACGCAAACTGTAAGTCATCACTCTATTGGGAAACAGGGGCATGTGGATTGCCAGAACGTTTACTCGAGTTTCAGCTTTTCAGTTTTTCTTTTCTTTTTTCTTTTTCTTTTTTCCATGCCTGATTCGTGCCTGCTCGTCGGCTTCCTCAAATACCCCGAGGTTATTTTTGGCGATGGGAGGGAGGAGCTCCTCCTGGGCCGGCTGGACGCAAGAGGGCAGGGCGGCGCACGGAGGAGGAGAGAGGAGAGGAACAGTACTTTAAAGGGAAAGAGCGCGGGAGTGTGTGATGAAATGAGATGTGAAGTGTTCCCTCACTCAGAGCCTGCAGACACGTAAAAGATTTAAGAAGCTAGTGAGGGGAGAGGTGGGACCTGCCTTCGTGCGCTCCTGCAGAGGGAGAGGTAAACTGACAGACTTGCTGCTAAGATCCTCTCTCTTTTAAATTATACCGACCACTGGTTGCCTAAAAGGCAAGTGGAGATTCACACTAAAGGTCTGGGGAAGCAGGGCAAGGGTGTTTTGGAGAACGGGGGGCAAAAGATGCATGTAAAGTGAAAACAGACTCGAAGTTGTGCGTAAATAAACTAAGCCAATTACATCACGGAATTAAAAACATCTTTAAACTGAACCCCTAAGATTTAGGGAACACACAGGAGCTTAAATAACTTTAATTATTAGTGAAGAAGCTGTCAAGAGCACCAGTACGATGGTTTATTAAATATGAAAAGAGACGCCTTGACGCAAATAGTAGAAAATTATGTTTAGTGTGATGTAGGTCTTTGTTGAAACTTGCCAGGGTGTGTGTCGACATACAGCCACGAGATGGAGCCAGTTCTCCATCAACTGCAACCTCACAGATAGCAGCAGTGTAACCTGGTATCCGTCCTGACGCTCTACGAGTTTCTCTAGCGTCATTAATTCACAAATAATACGAAATTCTAAAAACACAAGTGCACTTCTTGACAATTTCCACTGCCCAAATGAGATTAATCTCCATTTATGCAAATCTAACTGGCTCATTTCTTTTTAATTAGTCCAACAGGGACAGAGTTTTATTTGCCACGATAATAAACTAACCTGTGTTAAAATATTTCGACTTATAAAGCGCGAAATTTATCGACTGCCACAGTCACAAACCAGTTGACGCCCTCAGTCAGCCCTGTCTCAGCCTCGGTTTTACTACCCCACCACCGCGACCACCTCCCATCCCCTCCTCCTTTTTTTTCTTTTCTTTCTTTCTTTCTTTTTTTTTACACACCGGCTCGCAACCACCCTCCCAGTCAGTCACCTCAAGTGCGGCCGAGCGGCTGGAGCGGAGGCAAACAATCCCACCCAGAGCATCCGGAGCGACTCTCGTCTAACGTGTTTTGGGCTCAAGTAAAAGAGACCGGGGTGGAAGAGAAGAATGGGACGCCGGTGCTTGGATCAACACTGAGTCCTGCCGGCATACCGAGAGCTCCTCTGACTTTTTCTTTTTCTTTTTCCCCCTCCCAGAGTCACCGTGTTTTCACCGCTGACACAATGGGCTGCTGCAGCGGACGATGCACTCTCATCTTTATTTGCACTTTACAGCTGGTGAGTTGTTCCACACTTCTGCACTTTTTAGCTGTTAGAAGTTGTATTCTACGAGGAAGCCACTGCGTGTTTGACAAAGGAATTACTTTCCAATACAGTGTCTGTTTTTACATGGGCAGGAGCTCGGCTTCTGTTGGAGGATGCTGAAAACTGATGAGGACATGTTAAATATATATATATATATATATATATTTTAATCTTTAACTAGGCACTAAGGATCCTACTTAAAACAAATCTTCATTCGTCATGTCTACTGAATCCAGTTTGTTTAAACATAGTAGTTCTGGGAATAATCGTGGATTTCTAACTTTTGTGTTTTAGTGAAGAAGTGTTGTGTTGATATGAGTTGTGACAGACAACATGTGGTGTTGTTGGTCCAAAGAACTCAACTTCTCTGAGCACCAGAAGCCTTAATATAGCTGAGCCTCATAAGCAGCTGAACTATGACAGAGGTGGCTGTAGCTCAGGTGGCAGTGCGGATCAGCCACTAAC